TACAATGTTCATAATATAAAATATGTATATATTTTTTTAAATCGAGCCCGTAATGTGGTTTAATCTTAGTTGATATCGTTTGGTGCGAGTTTAACATTCTAGTTGTCTAATTCTCCTAACCCCTCCCCTCATGAAGTTTTACGGTCCCCACGAAGTGACGCGTGACAAATTTTTTTATTATACCGCGATATTCGCGATCGTGTTCGATCCAAATTATACGGTTTTATCGGAATTCGGATTACACTCGGCCAAAAAAACGTTCGCCTCATTGAACATAATATAATATAATGGTAAACTGATGCATATTATCATCACATCCGAATAACTGCAGATTGGGATCAACGTATGATTTTGATGTAAAATTTGCCACCGACTTTCCAATTTAATTGCATACCTACCGGTCGCGTATATGTGTGAGTGTATGCAGTATTTTTTTTTCTAGAATATTACAATCCGTATTAAAAAAAAAAAAAAATTATTACACTTATTGCGAATTCATAAGAAGTGAAATGAACATTATAACTCTGCGCTATAAATTATATGTAAATCGACTTTTATTGAACCCGATAAAATACCGGATTTTTCGCTACAGACATTATATATAATATAAAGGATATCGTTTATAATACATACATGTATATAATACTTTTTTTTAAATTTTTTTTTTTTAAATCGCTGAGGACTGCAAAAAACCAAAACGACTCGCGTCTGTGTTTTATATTATATTATAATTTTTCAAACGTGTAACATTGTACACACTAAGTAGTTAAGTTTTATCAAAAATAAAATAAAAATATTATATTTCAAGTATGATAATGTATATTAACATAGTAGCATAGGAGCTGGGTTACAGGAACTTCTGAGAAATGATTTTGTTTCTGTTGCAGTGGCGGTTTTTCGCTCGTTTGCCTCGGGAAGGGACAATTCGATGAATTTTTTTTCCATCGCTCATAGTGCTTAGGCGTTAAGATTACGTGATATCCCCCGTTAAATCGATTGCAAAAATTGTATTGCACGAAAAAAACTACTCGGGACAAATACACCGAATTTTTAAAATGTTTTGGGCGCCTGAAGCTTTTGAACTGTTTGAACTATCAACTTTAAATATTTTTCCAAAAAAATGAAATAAAAAAAACTATATTACCTACTTTGAATAGGTTTTGTCATTCGTTAACAATTTAATTTGTGGATAATACAAGTAAAGTTTTCTACAGTCAAGAAACTATTATCATTTATTTCCAACTGGTATTGTATGAAACACGCGAGACCTCAGATATCTGTAACCGCATTATAAACAAATTTTTGTGTATACAATAAAACAAAAAGTTTTCATCATCTTTTGTACAACATGATAGTCTATTTTATTAAATAACAGTATTTTAGCGTTAAGAATAAATATTTTACATAACCGTTAGAATACAAATATATATTTAACATAAACAAAGATTGACATACTTCGCACGATGGGTGGGCCACTGTTGTCGGTGAAAAGTAGGGAAGGTAGGCGATATAGAAGGGAATTCAATGTATATTTGTCCGTAACGATTAATCTTTGTTAACGGAAAATAATTTTGAACGGAGTTCGGTTATAGATGTTAAAAGTTGTAATATTTACGATTTTTGTTAACATTTAATATTAAAATTCTTAAAAAAAAAAAAAATATTACATTAAATTCAATTTTTTCTCGTTGACCACTGAGTAAAACTAATGATGAATCTCCTGTTAACCTATCAAGCATTTCTGTTTGGTCTAAAAATTTTATCCACCGAGTGTCTAATGAATAAATATTACATAAATCATTCACAAAATTAAAATGTCTAATAGCTTAAAAATGGCTCAAATGTTTTGAACATTTTACTACTTCTGTAAAAGGCAAATATAAGGTTTCTGTCAAAATTTCAAGTCTCTACGAATATTTCTTTTTGAATTACAATTAAAAAAAGACGGACATATTCACACGTGGGTAGGCCACAATTGTAGGTAAGAAGTTGAGGAGTTAGACGGTAATTTAATGTATATCGTACAGATGTACGCAACGATTAACCATTGCTAACGAAAAACGATTGTGAGCGGAGTTCGGTTAATAGTGTTGCTTTGTCAGCAATGTGACATATATATATATATTATACATTTATAATATATATATATATGTCACATTATGGTAAAACAATAACATATGCATTATTTATTTTCTTTAATAATATTTGTTTATTATTGTATCTATTTTCCTGTTTTTGTCCCGGTTTTTACATATGTTTTTTCCATTTATTGGGAAAAACATTTCCACCAGATGTTTGGTAGAAATTTAGAAAACAGTTTAAAAAAAATAAACATCATTGTAAAACCAATACATTTGGACATTCATCGCTCCGCTCAGAATCTAAAAAGAGAAAAGGTACTGTATAAAGTTGGTTTTAGTTTTTTTAAACCACAAATAAAAGAAATTTTACTATCGTTCTGAAATCTAACAATTTTTAATTTCAAACTCGAATAACTTTTTTCGTAATAGTGATAGGTATCGAAAAACTTAAATTAACGTTGCACAATGAAAATTTTCCGTTGTATATATCCCGAGTCATTTTTTTCTGCCCGAAGCACATTTGTGTACATTGCAGTAAGCATTTCTTTTAATATCACGTTACACAATAAGTACTTGTTACCTCATAATAACATGGGGACTACATGAAAATGTATTTTAATGTAATTTTTCCAAAAATTTCGGGAGAAAATATCAAATATGTAACCCCTTGAATACTTGTTCATAATTATTTCAACATCTCGGCACATCAGCTCACGTAACAGTTAAGTAAACAATTTTTGTCAGTTGATCACCAGCAGTCAATCGAAATTTCATAACACGCAAAACGAGAATTAAGGATTTTTGACGTAAAATTGCATTTAAAAAATCAAAAACGAGTATTTAAACTCCATTATCGTTCAGTTAAGTAGTTCATATTTAACATATACGTTTATGTATAATATATATTCATGTCCGTAGTATTTTCGTGGATAAACATTGTATCCTATATCAGCTAGATATATAGAAAATTCTCCGTGGATAAATGTTAATATCAGGATGATAATACTAAACAATTGCACAATCAGATACATTACAAATAATACTATATGCTACAATCCTGCAGTATACTAATATGTTAATTAAATAAACTACAACGATAACGTATAGGTAATATATTTTATGGATCGGACGGATCGAGGTCACAGCCCACAGTAGCAGTAGTGGCCGGTAATCAACCTTTGGTATCCCCCTCCGCTTATCAGCACACAAAATCGCAAAAAAAAACTTTTTAACTACCTAGTAGGATGCAAGTGTACATTTATGCACATAAAAAAGAACAAACGCGTTAAGGTATAAAATGTATTTTCCGTGACATAATATTCTGTAAAACATTTATAAAATTCGATTCTCCGAGATGTTTATTGCGAGACTAACGATAATCAGGAAAATACGCATTGCGAATAAAAATAAAAAGTTTAACATAAAAATATATTCAATATGTTTTAGTTATGATTTAGTGTTTATAATAATTTCTATCGGTATAAAAATAATCCCTAGGGTTGGTAGAATGAAAATGATAGGGATCTATGAAAAATAATATCAAGTACTCAAGGAAATAATGTCCGAAGTAAAAGAAAAAAAATAATTCGTTATACGTAATTCATAGATACGTGAAATATTAAAAAAAAAAAAAAATTAAAACTCACTACCTATTTAATTGATTTACTATAAACAAGAAATTATTATGTCAAATAGTACAGTTACACTGACAATATCATAACAATTATACATAATCATTAAACTTAATTAAAACAAAATTGTTTTTGACATTACAGTCTTAACGGATTGATAATATTATATTTTCTATAAAATTGAGCTTTGAGTTTGATTGAAATAAATCAATTAAAATGAAAACCTAAAATTTAGTAGACGTCTCTAGCGAGAAGAAGCTGTTTCATTTATAATATATATATATAATTCGAATTTCTAAATAATTATTATCATACGAGTGCAATAGATGCGACGTTGAACGAGTTACAAAAATAAACAATAATGTTGATAAATCCTTATTGATATCCTTGCAGTACTTCAGAAGATAATATAACATGCAATAGAAGTAAATATTCGGTTCATTCCCACGTCGCCGACTCCCATTTTGTCGACAACATTTTATTTTGTTAATTATTACCTGCGACGTACGTTGCTTGAAGTACACGTACTCATAATGACTCCATTTCACTATAGCTCGTGTTAAAACAATTCGTGTTCGTTGTCTTTTTGTAGAGATTACACTAGTTTTCTCAAAATTGTCACTGTGCTAAACCTAATTTATGAAAATAATAAGAATTTTTTTGAACGTCTATTTAATCGTTGATTACCTATTGTTTTTGTATATTCGATCATACTAAATTTATTTATTTACTTATGCTCATGCCGCAATTGCGGCGCTGGAATTTCTTTAGTAATATTAATTTCATCGCGACAATAATATTTCAATTAAAAATAGTAATGTAACCGATTTATGTGTCGGCGAAATGGGAGGATTTTTAATACCTTATAAAACCGGTTCATTTGTCGACAAATGGGAGTCGGCGATGTGGCAAGACACGGAATTTTCGAATACCAAAAATATTTAAAAAAATAATACAAATTTCGTTTTATTTCCTTATTTTCTTTTAAATTCTGTGAGGAATGAGGAATGTTTATTTGTTTTTAAAAATAAACAAAAAGCATATATTTGCCTATTAAGTTAAGTATTAATGAACGACTATTTGTTTATCGGCAAAGTGTGGCAGTCATATTAAACATTGACAATAACATTAAATTACATTTTAAAAGAAAAACTAAACGCAGTGAAATAAAATCGCAGTATCACTAATAAATACACGGAATTGTGTTGAAAGGATTTTTTTTAAATAATTCAAGTCAGGAAATAAATATATAATTTAATATTTATTAATTGTTTTTTTTTTTTTTTTTTTTTTTTACACTTTTTGTCTAATCTAAACTACACCTTTCTAATATTTTAATACGTTATTTTGATTAAATTTAAACCATTACTTAATTAATTTAATTGCTTGGTCTTGAATAACCGTTGAAAAAACGAAAAACTATTTTTCTTTGATCTTGGCCTTGATTTGTCTTCAAAGTCCACAGCATAAATTCCAAATTTCTTCCTATAACGTAATATAGATATTCGATTACAACATGATTATGATTTGAGCATTAATAAAATATTTTATGAAAAGCAATTCGTAAGACTTATAAATTTGAAAATCGATATAAATATTATATAAATTTAAATTACTTGTAACCAAATGTGAATTCCAGAGTATCTACGAATGACCAGACACAGTAACCTATTACATTAATATTTTGATCCAACGCTTCTAGGAGTTTATCTAAAATTCCCTAAAAATGAAATAAACAAAAAACATATTTACTAAATATATACACGTTAATATTAAAATCTAAATTAATCACACGCAAATAAATATTGATTTTAATTTTTAAAATTATGGTTTACTTACTGTATGATAAGCTACTTTTTTATCGCTATTATCAACATCGTCGTTCTCGGGAAAACCATTTTCACCAATGAATATCTTCGGTTGCTTCAGCACTTCGTCAACATATTTCAAGCAATTTAAGAATCCATCATACACCTTGATTCAGAAAGAAAATTACAATTTATAGAACATAAGACACCTCTTTAATTAAATAAAAAAGTAAAAAAAAAATGTATAAATGTAACAGTAGTACTTCGGCTGGACATATGTTATCAAACTCCATGAAGTATCCTCGATCTCTTCTTTTATGATTTGGTTCATTTATTAATTCTTCCTCGGTTAATGGTCGAACTTTTATACTGCTGTAGTAATTAAATACAATGAAATCGAATGCTCCTGTTGAAAAAAATATTATATGGTCAACTATCATATTTGTTTTACTTTTACATCTGGGTAAAACTTTTGTTTCATTAGTTTATTAAATAGATACTGCTACGTTGTTACTTAATCATTCAAATTATCAATTACCCACGACGACTTCTTTTTCTTGTTCTGTAAATTTTGGCAGACGGCCCGTTTTAAAACCTTCACGTTTACTATTTTTTTCAACGGCTTCTACGACTTCTTTGGGATACTCACCTTTGGCTAAAAGATGCAAGATCATACCAAACTAAAATAATTCATATAACATAACTAATAAGATAAAACAGATTGAATTAAAAATGTTTATTTGTAATTTACAGTTGAGAGACGTGCGAGTTTAGCGATTCTTCGATGCTCCGGATTATTCGGGTCTTTAGGATAAAACCAGGTTCCATTAATGGCAATGCTTACTTCGCCTAAACGAGAATATTATTATTATTATTATTATTGTTATTGTAAACTGTGAATTTTCGCAATGGATTTGTAATTGACATAGTTAATGAATTTATAGTAATCGTATCTTGTTGTTATCAGTTAACCTGTACTATTGTTGTTACTTGGACCTCATCCACTGGCGTAATTAAATATATTAAATATAATATTACCTTGCTGTTTTGCCTTAAATTCTTTGTTGTACATTCTGTAAGCGTTTGATGCAGAGAGCAATATGTTATGTATTGCCATGTAGTCTAAAAATCCACTAAATTGATGTTCCTGAAATCCGGGTACAAAATGCTCGGAACCGTATCCTTCGGCTACTATATGTAGGTCTGCAGACGTTGTCCAATATTTTACCTTTAAAAACGATTATTATTTATAGATACATGAATACATTATTATCATATGATATTAAGTATTATGACTTACTCGATCTCCGAAATTTTCAAAACACAATCTAGCATACCCCTCAAATAGTGTTCTGATATGTGAATGCAATAATCCACCGAAAGTATTTCCGTCTGACGAGCAATCATAATAAAACAACGTTGCCTAAATTTAATAACGCGAAAATAATTATACATTTTATTCTAAACTCTTACAAATACATCAGCTCATAATAAATAATAACGTTTACTTGTAAACAAAAAACAAAAGTAAAATTTAGTTGGATGCGGTTATTGAGAATACTATTCAAACAATATATTTACCATTGGCGTTATACCGTTTTCAATTAACTTGTCGATTAGTTTATTATAATAATCTATTCCCTTTTGTCCTGGTAAATGGTCATGTAGGTCCGGAATTACTCTGGTGGGACTTATAGAAAACCTATAAGCTTGGACCTAGAATAAATGGATAGATAAATTATTTTTATTTGGACCATTTTTTATTAAATCGGAAACCAACTCCCAAATCTTTAAGAAGTTGAATGTCTGTATCTAATTTATGGTACGTATCCGCAGCAATATCCGCGTTAAAATTGAAATATTCTTCATCGATAACTTTAGACGCTGGGACTTCGTATACCGCCATTCCTTTATATTCATCGACTAACCTCGGTTGTACACCTTTACATTTATACTGTTCAATAAGGGAAGTGTCCATGTCTAAGTAGTACCTGTACGTCTTATTTCCACCAGAATTGTGAAAATAATCGTCCCACATTGATGGCGTTTTTCCTAAAAATATTTTTTGTTGTTGTTTGTTATAATTAATAATTTTCAATTATGACGTATTGCTATTACAATTTTTATTTATATTGTTCATTATTCAATTTTAATCTGTTACGTATATTAATCGTTTTTATATTTGTCTTTAAATTTTGAGATGTCATTATAATAATTATTTGTTAATCAAAATTTTTTAAACTTACCGTCTTCATTCCAGGCTCCTTCAACTTGGACCGCTGAGGTTGCTGTCCCCAGTAAGAAATGTTTTGGAAACGTTACACATTTTGCTGGTAGAAAATATTTCCATAATGATTTAATTATACTATAAAGTATCAAAGCTACTCATGAAAAATATAAATCTTACCGTTTAGTGCCATTTTTGATAGTTTTAAATTATCAACAATAATATACTTGCAATTCTTCCAACCGATTAAACGTATCTAACCGTCGAGTANTCAAAGAATATTCTGATGCATTTGAAATTATATCTTGCTATTTATATTTTTTTTGATAATCTTTCTATTGATAATATTTTTTCCTTATCAATGATTTATCATTGCACACAGATATAAATTAAATTACTTTATACATTCTACATTTCTAATTTACCTCCTTTAATATTTACACACCGGTCAACAGAATCAGTTTTTTTTTTATTTGTTATTTTTATTGATTTATACGTTTGGTATTGAAAAATGGAGGAGAGCGAACATACAACATGCTATGTCAAAAAAAAACACTTGATTTTTATGATTACGTGGAAAAAACGAAGTTAATTCTCTGTCGAATTTTTTTTTATAAAGCACACTGAAATGTAGAATGCTTTATCGCATAATTTATTAATATAAATAATACATTACTATTATATAATATATAATATATTGTCCTATTATTATTATTATTTCTATTGTACCATTTCAATCTTAAAAAATATAAATAGCAAGATATAATTTCAAATGCATCAGAATATTCTTTGAGTACTCGACGGTTAGATACGTTTAATCGGTTGGAAGAATTGCAAGTATATTATTGTTGATAATTTAAAACTATCAAAAATGGCACTAAACGGTAAGATTTATATTTTTCATGAGTAGCTTTGATACTTTATAGTATAATTAAATCATTATGGAAATATTTTCTACCAGCAAAATGTGTAACGTTTCCAAAACATTTCTTACTGGGGACAGCAACCTCAGCGGTCCAAGTTGAAGGAGCCTGGAATGAAGACGGTAAGTTTAAAAAATTTTGATTAACAAATAATTATTATAATGACATCTCAAAATTTAAAGACAAATATAAAAACGATTAATATACGTAACAGATTAAAATTGAATAATGAACAATATAAATAAAAATTGTAATAGCAATACGTCATAATTGAAAATTATTAATTATAACAAACAACAACAAAAAATATTTTTAGGAAAAACGCCATCAATGTGGGACGATTATTTTCACAATTCTGGTGGAAATAAGACGTACAGGTACTACTTAGACATGGACACTTCCCTTATTGAACAGTATAAATGTAAAGGTGTACAACCGAGGTTAGTCGATGAATATAAAGGAATGGCGGTATACGAAGTCCCAGCGTCTAAAGTTATCGATGAAGAATATTTCAATTTTAACGCGGATATTGCTGCGGATACGTACCATAAATTAGATACAGACATTCAACTTCTTAAAGATTTGGGAGTTGGTTTCCGATTTAATAAAAAATGGTCCAAATAAAAATAATTTATCTATCCATTTATTCTAGGTCCAAGCTTATAGGTTTTCTATAAGTCCCACCAGAGTAATTCCGGACCTACATGACCATTTACCAGGACAAAAGGGAATAGATTATTATAATAAACTAATCGACAAGTTAATTGAAAACGGTATAACGCCAATGGTAAATATATTGTTTGAATAGTATTCTCAATAACCGCATCCAACTAAATTTTACTTTTGTTTTTTGTTTACAAGTAAACGTTATTATTTATTATGAGCTGATGTATTTGTAAGAGTTTAGAATAAAATGTATAATTATTTTCGCGTTATTAAATTTAGGCAACGTTGTTTTATTATGATTGCTCGTCAGACGGAAATACTTTCGGTGGATTATTGCATTCACATATCAGAACACTATTTGAGGGGTATGCTAGATTGTGTTTTGAAAATTTCGGAGATCGAGTAAGTCATAATACTTAATATCATATGATAATAATGTATTCATGTATCTATAAATAATAATCGTTTTTAAAGGTAAAATATTGGACAACGTCTGCAGACCTACATATAGTAGCCGAAGGATACGGTTCCGAGCATTTTGTACCCGGATTTCAGGAACATCAATTTAGTGGATTTTTAGACTACATGGCAATACATAACATATTGCTCTCTGCATCAAACGCTTACAGAATGTACAACAAAGAATTTAAGGCAAAACAGCAAGGTAATATTATATTTAATATATTTAATTACGCCAGTGGATGAGGTCCAAGTAACAACAATAGTACAGGTTAACTGATAACAACAAGATACGATTACTATAAATTCATTAACTATGTCAATTACAAATCCATTGCGAAAATTCACAGTTTACAATAACAATAATAATAATAATAATAATATTCTCGTTTAGGCGAAGTAAGCATTGCCATTAATGGAACCTGGTTTTATCCTAAAGACCCGAATAATCCGGAGCATCGAAGAATCGCTAAACTCGCACGTCTCTCAACTGTAAATTACAAATAAACATTTTTAATTCAATCTGTTTTATCTTATTAGTTATGTTATATGAATTATTTTAGTTTGGTATGATCTTGCATCTTTTAGCCAAAGGTGAGTATCCCAAAGAAGTCGTAGAAGCCGTTGAAAAAAATAGTAAACGTGAAGGTTTTAAAACGGGCCGTCTGCCAAAATTTACAGAACAAGAAAAAGAAGTCGTCGTGGGTAATTGATAATTTGAATGATTAAGTAACAACGTAGCAGTATCTATTTAATAAACTAATGAAACAAAAGTTTTACCCAGATGTAAAAGTAAAACAAATATGATAGTTGACCATATAATATTTTTTTCAACAGGAGCATTCGATTTCATTGTATTTAATTACTACAGCAGTATAAAAGTTCGACCATTAACCGAGGAAGAATTAATAAATGAACCAAATCATAAAAGAAGAGATCGAGGATACTTCATGGAGTTTGATAACATATGTCCAGCCGAAGTACTACTGTTACATTTATACATTTTTTTTTTACTTTTTTATTTAATTAAAGAGGTGTCTTATGTTCTATAAATTGTAATTTTCTTTCTGAATCAAGGTGTATGATGGATTCTTAAATTGCTTGAAATATGTTGACGAAGTGCTGAAGCAACCGAAGATATTCATTGGTGAAAATGGTTTTCCCGAGAACGACGATGTTGATAATAGCGATAAAAAAGTAGCTTATCATACAGTAAGTAAACCATAATTTTAAAAATTAAAATCAATATTTATTTGCGTGTGATTAATTTAGATTTTAATATTAACGTGTATATATTTAGTAAATATGTTTTTTGTTTATTTCATTTTTAGGGAATTTTAGATAAACTCCTAGAAGCGTTGGATCAAAATATTAATGTAATAGGTTACTGTGTCTGGTCATTCGTAGATACTCTGGAATTCACATTTGGTTACAAGTAATTTAAATTTATATAATATTTATATCGATTTTCAAATTTATAAGTCTTACGAATTGCTTTTCATAAAATATTTTATTAATGCTCAAATCATAATCATGTTGTAATCGAATATCNGTAAAAAAAAAAAAAAAAAAAAAAAACAATTAATAAATATTAAATTATATATTTATTTCCTGACTTGAATTATTTAAAAAAAATCCTTTCAACACAATTCCGTGTATTTATTAGTGATACTGCGATTTTATTTCACTGCGTTTAGTTTTTCTTTTAAAATGTAATTTAATGTTATTGTCAATGTTTAATATGACTGCCACACTTTGCCGATAAACAAATAGTCGTTCATTAATACTTAACTTAATAGGCAAATATATGCTTTTTGTTTATTTTTAAAAACAAATAAACATTCCTCATTCCTCACAGAATTTAAAAGAAAATAAGGAAATAAAACGAAATTTGTATTATTTTTTTAAATATTTTTGGTATTCGAAAATTCCGTGTCTTGCCACATCGCCGACTCCCATTTGTCGACAAATGAACCGGTTTTATAAGGTATTAAAAATCCTCCCATTTCGCCGACACATAAATCGGTTACATTACTATTTTTAATTGAAATATTATTGTCGCGATGAAATTAATATTACTAAAGAAATTCCAGCGCCGCAATTGCGGCATGAGCATAAGTAAATAAATAAATTTAGTATGATCGAATATACAAAAACAATAGGTAATCAACGATTAAATAGACGTTCAAAAAAATTCTTATTATTTTCATAAATTAGGTTTAGCACAGTGACAATTTTGAGAAAACTAGTGTAATCTCTACAAAAAGACAACGAACACGAATTGTTTTAACACGAGCTATAGTGAAATGGAGTCATTATGAGTACGTGTACTTCAAGCAACGTACGTCGCAGGTAATAATTAACAAAATAAAATGTTGTCGACAAAATGGGAGTCGGCGACGTGGGAATGAACCGAATATTTACTTCTATTGCATGTTATATTATCTTCTGAAGTACTGCAAGGATATCAATAAGGATTTATCAACATTATTGTTTATTTTTGTAACTCGTTCAACGTCGCATCTATTGCACTCGTATGATAATAATTATTTAGAAATTCGAATTATATATATATATTATAAATGAAACAGCTTCTTCTCGCTAGAGACGTCTACTAAATTTTAGGTTTTCATTTTAATTGATTTATTTCAATCAAACTCAAAGCTCAATTTTATAGAAAATATAATATTATCAATCCGTTAAGACTGTAATGTTAAAAACAATTTTGTTTTAATTAAGTTTAATGATTATGTATAATTGTTATGATATTGTCAGTGTAACTGTACTATTTGACATAATAATTTCTTGTTTATAGTAAATCAATTAAATAGGTAGTGAGTTTTAATTTTTTTTTTTTTTTTTAATATTACGTATAACGAATTATTTTTTTTTTTTTACTTCGGAATATATATCACGGGAAATACATTTTACACCTTTACTTCGGCCATCTATTTAAAGTAACCACCGTATATTACGTTATTGCAGCTTTAGCGATTTTGCGTTATCTTAAAATCATAAGTCAACACCACGTGCGCGTACATATATCATAATTTCTCATATTTTAAGGCTATTCGCTGCTGGTTTATAATGCAAATGATAGCGCGCTCAAAATTATATAATATTAAGCAATTACTATCTCCGTAGATACCTTTTGATCACGTTAATATTATGAACAGCGGCAATCGGCGAACGCCATGCAATTCTACGTATATTTATCATT